GTGTCAAGATAAGTCCTAGAAGCTAGTATCTATCGACTGTGTAGCAGAGGTACCGATAGCCGCAATCATTCAGATTCTTCTCAAAGCTCATCAACAAGAGGGCATCGACTTTTAGTAAGGAATGCATGTCAATGCTCAAGCCACTGAGTAACCAACCCCTTATTATATCAATCAGTGGAAATTAAGAGTCCTTGGTTACGAAGTCCTTCAGGTGCTCCTTTTGCATATTACTCCAACTACATGAGGGCTCTCTATATCTTTTCTCCATTGGCAGAGGAAGCGAGGTATCTAAATCAAGCAAAGAAGCCTTGCCCAACTAAAAGTGATCCAGATAAAAGATCATATCTCTTCCAAACTTGTTTGTTGCTTGGTTAACTGCACTATAGCTTTCGTATGGATATCATCATCAAAGTCACGTGTGTTATGAAGTAGAGCCACACCACTTGAAGTCATGGAGGATCTCTCGGTCGAAGTGAACGACTCGAAGAGTTGATGTGAGTATGTAGAAGCAATTATATGGAAGTTAGGAAATTGAAGAAAGGAAATAAACTGAAAGGAAGAGAGCAAGGAAAATGAAAGAGTAATCCAACCCTCAGCCCACAAAGATAAGTTGTCAAAGAAAGTTGATTTGTCATGGCAGGTCATACCTCGATTTCATAAGTGTGCATCATGTCAACATAGAAATTGAGAGAAAAATAATTGCAAAAATATTTTTTTTGTAAATTAATAAACAAAATTTACTATGATAAAAAATATTTTACAAGAGGTTCTTCAGTTGCTTCGGCGGTGCTTCAGTCAAGACAAGCCCCCGGCGAAGCAGCTTTTGGAACAACACTCTCCCTCCAAACCTAAAAATATAAACACTATCTGATTGGGCATGGAATTGGAGAATCGAGAAGGCCACGCGAATGTTGTCCAGCTTCACCCTCAAAGTTGTCAGCTCTATTGAGTGCCCCTGCCTCAAAGCTTCCAGCTCTTTCCAGAGCTCCTTCATCTTTGCCTCCAATTGCAAAACCACGCGCTTGGGCAAAGTTGACCTCCATTTCCTTCAAGTGGCGAGCCAAAGACACTGAACCCCATCGGCCATCGGTTGCCCTCTCAGAGTCTCCCCGGGGATCAACTACGACATTAATTACCTTCCCCTTGCTCTACGTCAGAGACAGAGTTTCTTTGGTCTCTCTGAGAATTGGGCCTCGTCCGATGCATTTTAATGGAGAATTGAAGATCAGGGCTATCTCATTTGCACAAACAAAAAAATATCAATAACATGAAGAAAATATTTCTAATCATAGAAGATCATATCTTCTCATACTACGAAGTTGATCCTTCTCCAACCACCGTAAAAACGAAAAGCTCTCATCAGACAATGGCAGGATGCCCACAGCCTTGATCCATTTGTAGGTAGCTAAACTACAACATTCCTTTCCTCTGGATGTGGAGCCCCGGTGGTTTTGTGTATAGGTTTCTTTGCCAATTAACTGCGGGCTACAACATGAAAATGGGCCGGCACACCAACAGGTGGATTGCCCAACATGAGTCCCTCTTGTATGTAATAAATGGCATTTAAAATAAATAAAATAAAATAGGTGTCGACTGTGAAAGACACATCTCTTCAAAAGGATTAAATCACACTCCTCTAACCCTAAGTCGACCATTTAATGAATAGAGAAGGGGAAAAAAATAAGTGAAGAGAAGAATAGGAGAAATAAGAAGAAGTCGAAGACGGAAGGAGAAGTGTGCAACTCTATCAAGAGGAAGGAAAACCAAAGTTCAAGGTAAACCTCGTGCGTACCTGTGAGGAAGTAAAAGGAGTCTTAAGTATCTCTCACCTAATTTGACGTTGAACCCTAGTCGGAAGAGGAAGAGACATCACAGTGAAGTGTGGTGTTGGGTCACTCTGAGATTTAAGAAGAGGAAGAAGAGTAACAACTGTGCATATCCACCATACGTGAAGGAGAAGAAAGTTGTCGTGTTGTGCTCTTGTACAAAGGAAGGAGAGGTGATGTGCTTGCGAGAGGAGAAGAAGCTCACATTTGAAAATGAAGTGAAAAGAAGCTTAATGAATTTGCTCATATCAAAATGCTTTAGGTTGACCAGTCCGCCCGTACAAACTAGTTGATCGCCAACTTTGTGCCAAGCCAGAGGTGTCTAGCATAATTGTTAGAAAACTCCTCTGTGATTTTCAACGTGAATATTTCTTCATAAAGAACTTCATTTTCCTTCTTAATTACAAAAAGTCACTATGATGTGCTCATTGGCTCTCTCTCAGCTCTCGCTAGCTGAACCTTTGACACGATCGCCCAATCCTTATCCGCCTTCATTTGAGCCTTAGAAATTCTTGCCCCCTTCCCAAATTTGATGATTTTCTCCTTAGTGTCAAGATAAGTCCTATAAGCTATTATCTATCGACTGTGTAGCAGAGGTCCCGAGGGTTGCAATCATTCAGATTCTTCTCGAAGCTCTCTGATAAGAGGGCGTCTGCTTTTACCAAGGCATAGATGTCAACACCCGAATCACTGGGTAACTGATCCCTCATTATATCAATCAGTGCAAATTAGGAGTCCTTAGTTACGAAGACCTTCAGATGATCCTTCTGCATATTTCTTTAACGGCCTGAGGCCCCTCTTTCTCTTTTCCCCGGTGGTAGAGGAAGCGAGGTATCTGAATCAGGTGCAGAAGCCTTGCCCTTCCTTCAATTTGCTTCTTTGGAGGCAGTGTTCAATCTCAAGTTCAGACTCGGCCTGAGTTTCCTCCGGTGATAGTAGATCATGTTTGCCATTATTGTGGCTACAGAGTTTTGCTTCATTTGGGCTGAAAGAACTTTGAAATGGTGTAGGACCAACCGGAGTTCTTTGTAGAATAATAGTAAGAGGCTCCACTGAAAATGATCCAGGAAAAAGATCATATCACTTTCAAACTTTTCTATTGCTTGGTCATCTGGCCCCAGAGCTTCCATCTCCCTGGCTCTTTACACCCTTGGGCCTCTTGTCGCTCTCATACCGAAGCCTTCTTTCGGGCCTTTTTGTTCCTCCAGACCTCTTCTCCTCTTCCAACCAACTCCCTTCTTTTAATCACTTATTTCTCTTGAATTCTTTCTCAAAATGGAATCGCGACACAACAAACTCAAAAGCTTTGATCATCATTTCCTCTGTTAGGGTGCCCTCTAATTGCTTCTTGTCACTTGCCATGAAAAGACTCTTGAAATCAATCTACTGAAAGGCACACTCGAAAGCAAATACGGATATCAGAAGCCCTAATCACACCCTATTTATAAAGACCATGGGCATGAAAATTCACGAAGTGCGATGATCAAAGTATTGATTACGGTACAAATGAATATACATTTTTCATTTAACTCACTTACTCTTCTCACAATTGTTACTCTCAAAAAGTAAGAGAACCAAAGAACCAAAATATATACATAAAAATGCGTCAAGATGAATCTCGATATAATTCAACACACTAAGAAACATGAAAGTATGGCCAGAAAGGGACAACAGAAGGAAGACTAAATTTCACATCACGAGAAGATCAAATGACATGATTGACTATGTAGAGACACCTTGAGTTGGTACTGGAAGCCAACTAGACACAGGAGTTTGAAAGAATGACCAAGATCTATCAAGCCAAGAAAAGACATCAGTCCAACTCTAGTCCCAACATTATCAGTTGCCTTGTAAGAGCCTCCGAGACTTCATTAGAAGGCCAGAAGTTTTACCATGACATAATCCATGAACCATGAGGGATCTTTTTTCAAGTGATGTGCTACTTGTTAGATTACAATGATTCACCATCTGCAGATAGCCTAGTCTAAGCCTGACGATGGAAGCTCTTCATATAGTGGTCAATAGTGAATAGCCGAACAAACAAAACTAACTGATGTACTAAAGCAGATTGAGCCAAATATAGGTGACCGAAGATTAATACGAACCAATCAGCAGCCCCAACTCAACATAGTCAGACAAACTAGCCTTGTTGATCCAAGACCAACCAATCTCAGCCGATAGAACAATACGGTGGTCGAGCTAAATGCTCATTTATGTAAATAACTAAAATACCCTGTAACACCTCTATTAAAGCAGGGGTAAGCATGTAATTATGCACATTGCATACCCCTCTCCTATACACAGGGGATCCTTTATACACTAAATTCTAATCCATTAAACATACACAATTCTCTCATTTTACAATTCGTTATTGTGCACACAAACACACACACACACACACTCTCTCTCTCTCTTGTTTTGCTCTCTATACATTAGATGTGACTCCTGGACAAATTCAAATTCAACAACTCTCTCTCTTGTTTTGCTCTCTATAAATTAGATGTGACTCCTGGACAAATTCAAATTCAACATCATATAATAAAAGTGACATTCTAATATGCTCCAATTCAACTCATACTCAAATCATTTGTAATAGAGTTTCATATTTGTTTCATTTTGAACAAATTTTATGCCTAATTTTTTTAAAAAGTAAAATTTAAAATATATTTCAAAAACAAGCATTGAAAATATTTCTTAGTTTATGCATATTATTTTGACAACTTTTCAATTTCTTATCTATTTAATTATTTTACACTCAAATTTTGATGTCTCATAAAAAAATGACACTAAAATTTTTTTAAAAAAGAATTTAGGTGCACAAGGCTAAATTCTTATGCATCTACCCATCTCACACCCAAACTCCTATTTTTACAAACCAAACGCCAAAATTATGAGTGAAATCCACGTTTTAATTCATAGGTAGGGAGCTCATTTTGTCTACAAAATGAGAGTTTGGGTGTAAGATGTGTAAATGCGTAAGAATTGAATGCTGTGCATGCAAATTTTCATTTTTTAGTTAGAAATACATCTTTTAATGCATGGTCAATTGGTTTATAATATCAAAGTATATATATGAAATTTTAAGTATTATATATGTAAATAAAATGATTTGTATGGTATGTATGTAAATCTCCGTAAGATAAATTATAACGGAAGTAAGAAAGCGATGGATCACCAAAATCGATTCACCTCAACGGATGGGCTGGTGCTCTCCGTCTTCTACAAAGCAAGCGGCGACGACGCTGCTCCTCTTCTCCATTGGAGTAGCCCTATTTTCTGCAGGCGTCCACCTCTCCTACGTTAACGTCGAACCCCAGCGGGAACGTACCCTAGCTCGTGACGAGTTCGTCCGCGAATACCTCCGCAAGAAATACGGCTACGGCCGCTAGTTTTCCACCCCTAAAGACAACATACTCCCATGGCGCTCCTCCAGGCTTCCAAACCCGTCGGATCCCCTCTGATTGCTGAAGTTGACATGGGAGGCGGTTCCGATCCCTCTGTTGTCATGGTCCGCGCTACCGTCGTCCAGGCTTCCACCGTCTTCTACGACACCCCAGCGACTATTGGTATGAATGGTTCCTTTTAGTTCCCGTCTTAGTCTCTTAAGGTATTCATGATTTATGTAGAAAACAAGATGCGCATGTAATGCGGTATGAATTTTAATGTATGGGTAGATTTAGATTGAGTTAGTGTAATTGTGAATCTTAGGCGTTTAATAAGTTATTAGATGCCTGTCTGGTCTATAAATACTCATATTGAATTTTTGGGCATCGAGCAATAAAAAATGTATAACCCTAGAACTAAGGCTCTATCCATGCTTCAAGCTAAGTGTCACCTCCCAAAAGAGCTCTTCGGGATGGTAGACAACCCAGGACTTAAATACTGCTTTTCGGCTCTACACCTAGCCGATGTAGGACATTTTGTCCGTGACATTCTCCTCCACTCAATCACGTGACGCTCTTGTCACGGATCAACTCCACCAAGGGTTCCACTGGACCATGGAGAGTCCACACACCTGATAAACAGTAATCTGCTCTGATACCACTTGTCACCTCCTAAAAGAATTCTTCGGAGTGGTGGGTAGCCCAACACTTAAATATTACTTTTCGGCCCTAAACCTAGCCCATGTGGGACATTTTGTCTGTGACATAAGACTGACTACTATTGTTGAGATTCAAAATTTTCTACGGTTTGCTACTGCAAAAGATTTTTTAATGGGTTTTCACATGTTGTAATCGATTTATCCAGATTGACAAAAATTTTTTTGATTGGATTGATGAGTGTGAACTGTTTTTTTAAGGATTTAAGAAATATTTATGCACTTTTATTGATAATTCCATTTGAAATGGAGGAATTTTAAATTTATAGTGATTCAGCTTTAGAGGACCTGACATGTGTTTCAATGCAAAATAAGAATGCGATTGTTTATGCTTCTAGACATTTGAGATCACACGAGTTAAATTGCCCGATGCATGATTTGAGTTAGTTGCAATACTATTTGTTCTAAAAAAATGGTTGTATTTTTGCTGTGATGTGAAAGGTTTGGGTGGTATAAATATAAAAAGTGAACTTTAGGTGTTAGATATGTAGAATTGGGTGGTATTTATGTAAGCCTTTTATTCCTAGTTCATAGTTAGTATGTTGTATTGCTTTAATTTTGTGTATATTTTAATTATATTTTAGAATTATTTATCCTGTTAAGCTTTTAAGCTCACTAGTTATTACTTTGTTTTTATTTCAGGTAGATGGAAAAATAATATTGATACTGAGTGCGAATCAGATTTTGAAGCAAGTTTTATAGTTTTGGTGTAAAACAATGGATGTACAGAATGTTTGATGATATGTAAATGATTTTAGATATTTATTAGAAATTCTGTAGTTGGAAAAAAAGAAAAGATTGTGGAATGCTTCTGCTTAATTAATTATGTTAATTATTATACCCTTATGATTAAAAAAATATGTTATATAATTAGTTAGGGTCGTTAAGGAAATTAATTTATTATAGAGAATGAGATGATTCTATTATCTAGGTATTACCTGCCTTTGTTTCTTATTATGTTTAATTGGCATTGGCCGTCATGGGTTGTAACATTAAGAGTCTTTGTACATTTGGGGTATTATTCTGTTATGCTGGTGTCTAGCCTAAGGGCAATTTTATCTTTTGTGTACATAGGGGCAAGTTAGTATTTTATTATTTATTATTGTTTCGTATAAATAGGCCTTAATAGGTTTAGGTTTAGGACATGTATGAGATTGGTTCTTGAGTTTTGGGTCAGGGTTTGGGAGAGATTTACTACCTCTCAAATTGTATGATTTGGGAGAGATTGACTACCTCTTGAATTGTTGGTTCTTATAATCATGTATTTGTATTTGTGTTGCTTGGTGGTTGTGAAATAAAATGTGTTTGCCCTAATTTCTATGGAAAAATCTGTGTCGATCGTATCAAATTTGTATCAGAGTATCAATCTGAAAAAAGGCAAATTGGCTCATGGAGGATCGATCGCTCTAGCGAGAAACGACGATCGAGATCCGAAACTCCTTTCTATCATGGAAGGGAACTACGCACTCCTGATTGAAAATAACAATACAGTCACGATTGGAGCTAGCTGCCTGTTGCTTTCGTGACTGAACCCTGTTATACAATCACGATCAGAGATTGCTGGGAAGGCTATCGTGGGATTGTAATCGTGATTGTAGCTAGTTGCTCGTCGCCTCTGTGATCTAACCCCTCGATATAGTCTTGTTCATAGCTTGTTGAGAAGGCGATCGTCGTGACCAAAGCCTTGAGATACAATCATGGTTTGAGTTAGCTGGGAAACATGAGGGATCATGTCGTACATTCATCTTTGTTGCACTGAACTGCACGAAAAAAACTCAATTAGAACTAAAGGGGAAGGCTGTGACGGGATCTGGCGTGCCAAATCGTGATCCTAGAAGTTAGCAATTGGATTCGGGATCGAGCAGCTCTAGTGATAGGAAGCAATGTCGGCCAAGAAAATAGACGATTTGGAGAAAAAAGTTTGAGGAAGAGGTGGAGAAACTTAAATCCTAGATGGAGTAACGATTTTTCGCCATTAACAACCGATTTGAGAGCTTGAAGGAGATGCTGAGGTCCTGAGGAAGCTTATTAAGATGCAATCCAAGACCCCACCAATGATTTAGTTTGCAAACCCTCCCCAAGGGCTGATTAGAGATTCATTAGCTAAATTGAAAGGAAAAGAGATCGGACGAGAGAAATACGATGAGTAAATTATCCCCCATCAAGAACATCCTCTTAGGGTTTTGATGAGTTGGGGATTAGAGATTTTCAATAGAGGCGGGTGGGCCGAAACATGAAGAAGGGTTTATGCAAGGGGTATGGAGGAGCACATAGAAGAAAGAAGAGAAGTCGAGATGGGTATGACTATGTTCAAAGGAAAGAGGTTTACCCTCGACATATGGGGGAAAATAACGAAGAGAGAGGAAATTGGGGTGGGGATGTTAGGGTTAGGAAGTTGAAGAAGAGAAGTTGAGATGGGATATGTGACTATGATCAAAGGAGGGAGGTTTACCCTCAACATATGGGGGAAAATAATGAAGGGTTAGGAAATTGGGGTGGAGATGCTAGGTTTAGGAAGTTGAAGATGCCGATTTTCGAGAGGGAAGATAGACATGAATGGAGCGATATTTCGCGGTGAATAGAATAAATGAGGAGGAGATGCTCATGGCGGCAAATTTATGTTTGAAGGGAAAAGCTCTAACACAGTTTCAGTGGAGGGAGGTTTGATACCCGATCCAATTGTGGGAGAAATTTAAGAATTGTTTGTTGGAATGTTTTCGAGCCATTGGATAAGGAGATATATAGTAATTTTTTGTCTTGACTCAGGAGAGTATTGTCATGGAATATATGAAGAGATTTGAGTTATTGCCGGGATGACTGGAGGAGATTTCTGAAGTAGTATTACAGGGAGATTTCATAAAGGGCCTAAAGTCTGAGATACGGACAACACTCCGACTATTGAGACCTCGAGGATTGAGGGAGATTATAGAGCTAGCTTAGATGGTGGTTTACAAGAACCAGATAAATAAGACAGTAGAAGCAATATCATGGGAGAATTCCACAAGAGTATGTCGACGATGATGACATCGAGGACACAGATGGTATCATTTCAAGGGGAGGACATGAAGGAGAAGAATATGGGTGCCCATCTCGGTGTCAACTTCAAGCGCCTTATAGAAAGAAAGATTCTGGAGAGGCGAGCTAAGGGGTTATATTTTCTGTGTGATGAGAAGTTTGCCCCCAGACACCTTTGCAAGGATCAAAAATTGCAGGCTCTCATAGTGTGTGACGAGGAGATAGAGGATGAAGAAACAAATATGGCAGTGGTGGAGGAGGAACATATTCATTTTTTCCCACCTTAAAGAGAAGGTATATTTTTGTGATGGTGGGAGAGTATTGTTACACCAGTGTCTAGCTTAAGGACAATTTTGTCTTTTATGTCCCAAGTTAGGATTTTATTTATTTATTATTGTTTAGTATAATAGATTCTAATAGGTTTACGATTAGATTATGTATGAGATTAGTTCTTGGGCTTAAGGTTAGGATTTTGGAGAGATCTCTTACCTCTCGAATTATAAGATTTTGGAGAGATCGCCTACCTCTCAAATTGTAGGTGCTTTTCTTTATGTATTTGTATTTGTATTATTTGATGTTCGTGAAATTAATATGAGTTTACTCTAATTTCTGTGGAAAAATCTGTCTCAAATTGTATCATAATCAATTAATGAATGAAATTAATTTTCCTTTACGTTGATCTTTTTTGCCACTCGTCTTAATTCTCAGTTTCAAGAGTTTTCAACCAAAAATTGTTATTTATTGTTATGATCTTTTTTGAGTTTAGAACAAATTGATTCGTGTATTTGCACTTGTTTTTATGTGAAGTTGTAGTGATTTTATTCATATATAAGTATATAACTTGACCCTACATCATTTAAGTTCTTTTTGGTGGAAAGATTTAGTTAGGATTTGGGTTATTTTTTGGCAAATAATTTTTTAAGGCACATATATTTTTTATATTCTTCTTAAATTTTTTTTTTCTTTCTATTTTCAAACAGGCTGCGTAAAATTTTAGATGACTAGCAAAAAAATTTATTTTCTTCCTAACATCGTCATTACCGGGTCTCAAGCCCGGAACGTGAAAAGTGGAGAGTTGTGTTAGGTAGTTGACAAACAACGTAAAATTTATCGAAAATTCATGACATGAATCTTTTTGATCATTGTGTAAATGCTAGGGCATCCCCTGGAAGTGACATGTTGTATAACCTGAATACAATAGAAAGTGTGCAAGGGTCGCTATATCGACCCCCAAGTGTAGTGTTAAATAAACAAGAGTTTCCACATTACAGACAGACATAGATAAAATAGTTAGTCCATGATACAATGTTAGGATAAAATCTTAGAATATAGGTACTCACTGATAAATTAATGTGATTAGTTGATATTTTGATTCATAAAAAAATAAATATCTTATGTATCTAAGAAATTAAATGAATTGGAGAAAAAACTAAAGAGATTAATAAGTTAGATTTTAAACTTTGGTATTCATGTAAGAGTCACACTAGGAATGATGTATGTGTAATTATAGATAAGAGTTTGAAAGATAATGTTGTAAAAATTAATAGAATTGAAGATAGAAATGTAACACTTAAGATTATTGTTGATACTGAGATTTTCAATATTATAAGTGTTTTTGCTCCTCAAGTTGGTTTAGATGTAGGTAGGGCTATCAAAACGGCTCGTTGTTCGCGAACAACTTGTGTTCGACTCGTTCGCTAAGTTAACGAGCCGAACACGAACCAAGATTTGTTCGTTCGTGTTCGGCTCGTTTTGGCTCGAAATAGTACTAATCAATTATATATATATCTTGGATAAGTAGTATTTTTTAAAAATTTAATTGTCTACAAGGCTACAAAGATGTATAATCAATTAAAAGTATTGATGAAGAAAATATAATAAAAATTATTAAAAGGGTTGTCAAAACGCCTCTTTGTTCGTTAACGGCTCGTGTTCAGCTCGCTAAGCAAACTAGCCGAACATGAACACACTTTTTGAGCTCGAATAATAAACGTGGCTCGTTTACACTTATGTAAGTTATAAAGATAAATTCTAGAATGACTTAGAAAACTTAATACAAATGATACCTCTTGAAGAAATTATTTTTGTTGGGGGAGATTTAGATGGACATATCGGTAGAGTGGTAGAAAATTTTAGAAATATTCATCATGACTACAGTTTTGGAGTGATTAATGAAGAAGATATAACCATATTAGATTTCGCTTTAGCGCTTGATTTAATTATTGCTAATATTTTATTCAAGAAAAGAGAAACATATTATTACTTATATGAATGGATCTAATAAAACACAAATTGATTATTTTCTTATGAGAAGAAGAAATCGTTGAGAATGTAAAAATTGTAAGGTCGTTCCAAGCGAGGATTTAAACATCGCTTATTAGTTTAGATTTTAAGATGAAGAGTTGTACTATGAATCATCGTCACAGAATTAGATGGGGTACCTAAAAGACACGAATAAAATTTTTTTTATGAGTAAAATTCAAGATTTCAAAATTTGGGAGGTTCATGAAGCAAATTTTATGTGAGATAAAGTAACAAACTCTATTAATTAAGTGATAAAAGATGTACTTGGAGAATAAAAAAAAACAGTTTTTATAAATAAAAATAGTTGGTGGAATAATAATGTGGCAAGAAAAGATAAAATATAAGAAGTTATGTTATAAAAATTGATTTAAATGTAAACGCTTAGAGAACCGAGAAAAATGTCAAACAACCCGTAGGGAGTAGGGGTGTAAACGAACCGAACACGAACGAACAAAGCTTGTGTTCGTGTTCAGTTCGTTTAAAATTTAGTTTGTTTGAAATAAGCTCGTGTTCGTTTCTTAACGAACGAGCCGAACACGAACCGAGCTGCTCAAGTAAAATGTATTAAAAATGAAAATTAAAAAGTGTTTTTCTTAGAAAAAGATATTCAACATAGATTGGTGAGTAAATTTTATAAACTTTTTTATGATGTTTTTAAAAATATGATCGATCTCAGTGATCTTAATATCGTTAATAATAATATAATGTTTCATATTTTAAGTTGGCGTGTCATAAGTTAAGACGTATTACAAAGATTTCTCATAATCAATGTGGATTTATGCCGGGCAGGTCTACCCGGGCAGGTCTACTATGGAAGCAAGCTATACATTTATTGAGACGACAGAGATAATAAAGAAGATCTACATATGATTTTTATTGATTTAGAAAAAGCTTACGATAAGTTCCCAAGAGATATCCTTTGGAGAGTTCTTGGGAAGAAATGTGTAGATATGACTTATATTAAAGTCATTAAAGATATGTATACTAGAGCTGTTACTTGTGTTCGAATAGAAGAAGGATTGACCAAATATTTTTCTATATTTGTTGGATTACATTAGGGATCGACTTTAAGCCCATATCGTTTTGCTTTAGTTATGGATGGTTTTACTGGACATTTACATGAGGATGTACATTGTTGTATGCTTTTTTTGATGAAATCCTTCTTTTGGATGGGAGGAGAGAGAAAGCCTAGGAGAAACTTGAATTATGGAGGTCTACATTGGAGTCTAAAGACCTTCGTTTGAGTAGAACTAAAACTGAATACATGGAATGTAATTTTAATAATAGTAGCTCTAGTGACAAAATTGTAACTATGGGTGATCAAATTATTAAAAGGTGTGAACAATTTGGATATTTCAGGTCATTTTTCAAAGTGATGGTGGTATAGATAGGGATGCTATTAGTAGAATTCAAGTTGGTTGGTTGAAGTGGAGGAATGCTTTGGGCCTATTGTGTGATAGAAAAGTATTGCTTAGACTAAAAGGAAAATTTATAAGATGGTGGTGAGAACTGCAATGCTTTATGGCGCTGAATGTTGACTTTTAAAAGAGAAGCATAAAAACTAATTTAAGTGTTGTCGAGATGAGAATGATTAGGCTGATGAGTGGCTTTACGCTTAAGAGACAAAATGCGAAATGAATATGTTCGTGATAGGGTTGGTGTAGCTTTAGTGACAGTCAACATTAGAGTCTTCTTAGATGGTTTGGTCACATTAAACATCGACCGTCTGATGATCCGATTAAGAGAGTAGATGCTTTAGATTCGACTTATATTAAGAAAGACAGAGGTAGACCTAGAAAGACTTGGGCATATTGTATAAAAAATGATCTTAATTTATTAGAATTAAATGGAAATATGACACTAAATAAGACGCAATGGAGAAAATGGATTCATGTAGTCGACCCCACTTAGTGGGATAAAGGTTTGTTGTTGCTCTTTGTAGTTCAAACAAATTGGATTCAGTAAATCCATGGGGAAGTAGGATTTAAAAAAAGATATACTTTTTTTGTTCATTATGTTTTTTTCTCCGCTTTCATTTAAATGATAAAATATTGGAAATATTTAACAAATAATTAATAGAAAATTAATCAGATTTAACGTCAATCATGCTAAATAATTTTCATGATTTAGAACCTCCAGGATTTACTAAATCTTAATTTACATGATTTAATAAAATCTACTAAATCCTACTTCTTGCCAAAAAGTCCTTACAATTGTACTGAATGTAGCTTGAAGTGAACTTTTTGTTTTTCTATGGAGTGTATTTGTATCTCTATAATTTTTTCCATATGATTTACCGCTCACAAAATTATGTTAAAGGAATTTTGTCTCCTATTTGATGGCTTGCAAGGTCCTTTTGTTTGAAGCTATTGATTTCAAGATTTTTGGAGCCTGGTATACTTCAAGGTATTAGTGAAAAATTGTTGGGTGGCAATTGTAGGAAAGCTACTAGTAAAGGGTAAAATTTAAGTACAAGTTATGTAATGGTGACATTTTATAAGCTCTAGATGGGCTCTATCATGAATGAAATTTCAAAGGAATTCCTTGCAAAAGATCATGCGTGTAAGTGTTTTATACAATTGGATTTACTTTGGAAATTGTACCATTCATAAATATGTGTGCTTTATTTAAGATTTCGCAAATTGCTCGGATCTCCAAATGAATCATTTAATAAAAAAATAACACCTATGTGATATTTTATGGGTCTTTATTTTAGGAATTTTATCTGGCCACCAAAAATTTTTTAGGAGCTGTTTGGGTTTGTCAACAAATGGACCTAAAAGTAAAAATGAATGCGTGATTTTTAAAAATTAGCTGTTTGTTTGAATGAAAAAAATAATGCAATGCGAAATTTTGAAGTATCTAGAAGTCATATTCTGATTCATTTTCGATGTAGTTTTGGCCAAATTCTTAATACATTGCAAGAAGTTTAGCTTGCTACAGCCGTCCCTACTGATTGCTGCTTGCCACTTTCTTTGTTGGCTGTCATCGTTGCCCGCCACAGTTAGCTACTGACATTGCCGGCTGCCTCTTGCGGCTGCTGCGTGCCGCCTCCATTTTTCATCATAGTTGAGCTTTACAATGAATTCATTTTACTTAAATCAAATCGGAATTTGTGATCTGCAAACAACTTCAAATATTTTAAATACATTATATTTATTTTACATTTAGAAAGATTTACATACGTACCACTCAATTCATATGTATTTACATATCTAATTACATATCTAACAATCTAACACCTAAACTTCAATTTTTACATACATACCACCTTACTTATTGCATAAAAAGGCGGCAAGTATGTAAAAAGAAATATTTAGGCGTAGATATATAAAAACATAGGAATCAGGTGTTATGTATGTAAATGGCCCTTACATTTATATTCATGTTTAGGCTGCTTTTCGTTTTTAGCAAAACAAATTACCTCTTAGAAAAAAATTAAAATTCTTTTTTATTATTTAAGAGAGTTCACTTGTTATCCTTGCTTGTTCAATTTGTTTATCTTGGGCTGGTTCTTTTGTTTTGTTATTTTCTTCGGGCAAATGTATCTTAAAGTTTAAAGCATTTGGGTTGTCTATTCCTTGGAGTGCTAATATTACAGGTTAGTTATGAATTAATAAATCATTACCTATCATAGAACAGAATATTTTAAAAAAAAATTATTGATTTGATGTCTCAATTTCTAATACTGAAATCTTGCATGAATTGTCAATCTTGAATGAATTGTCAATCTTTTGGTCTCGAACAAATATGTAAGTTCGTTCTGTAATAATGGAAATATCTCGTCTTTTTTTTTTTCAGGAGTTAAAACATCAAAAAGAGTATAAGCAGAACCAGTGCTATCTTTCTTTATGGATACAAATAAATTTTCAGGAAAGCTAACGTAATGTAGATTCATCTTTGTAGATAAAGCTGATAGGCTCGTTGCTGAGGCTGCTTCTTATGGTTCTCAATTGGTTGTATTTCCAGAAGCATTTATCGGCGGCTATCCACGTGGATCTACGTTTGGTGTCACCATTGGTAGCCGCTCAGCTAAGGGAAATGAAGAGTTTCGGAAGTACCATGCTGCAGCCATTGATGTGCCAGGTTCAACCTCATAAGACTAAGGATTTTCTGTCATAACTTAGCTAACATATGACCATCTCTTATAAGTAAAAAATCAATTTTGTTTTTTCTTCTTCATTCTGCTTATGTCTTAATATCAATTTCATTAATATTAGTTGGCTGTGGTTTCCTATTTCGCTAGGTTACTTGTGAGTATTCTTTGCATGTTAATTTCATCAGAGGAGGGAAATCTATCTTTTTATTTTTGCTTTTGTTCCATAAATTAGTTGGCTTATGGCAAGGCAAGTGTCCTTTTGTTGAGTTTCAGTTTGAGTGTTTTCCACTTTGAAGTCAACCATATCACACCCTGGTCCAAAAGGTGTTATACCCTAGTAATGGGGAACATAATAAAGGAATTAATCTCAACTTACGAAATAAAATTCAAAGTCAAGATCGATTAAACATGTTTTATGCTTGAAAAGTAAGTTTCATGTACATGTAGTTAGAAGCATTAAAGAGTAAGCAAAATAAATGATGTTTTATTGCATTAACAAAATCTTAATACTAGCTCAATAGCGAAGCTTAACCAATTAAAAGAAAAAAAAAAACTTAGAAGAATATCCACATAAGCAGAAATTATTCACACATAACAAAATTATAAATACTGTCTACCATATAAACTCAAGTATTAAATACAGAAGTTACTGCTAAGAAGTCTGCTCCTATAATGACAGTTCACCAGTCAATCTTGCAGGATGTGTTATAAGAAAATATAAAAAATATAAATGATAAGGTATTGTAATATCCAACATGAAGAATACAATAAACATAATTTACTATGTAATAGTAGGGTAATATCCATAAAATTTTCGGGCTAGAATAATATTTCATGAAATAAATAAATGCTTATGTGGTTATAGGATGAATTAAACTGGCAATGTCTATAATCAATTGTATGAAAATTGTAATATTCATATGCTGGCACATCATATATATATTCAAAAATGATTTATCAATTCCTTATCCTATCATCTTTTTGTATTTGTATGCTCATACACCCCAAAATGGAGGAGATTGGCACTAACCCATGAAAATCCAACAAATTTTAATGAACTCATCACAATGTGGATATCCATACAATCTATTGCTAGTAGGCATACATATTCTGTATATAATAAGCTAGTATTGAACATATATTTTATAATAGATATGGCCTTTTGGTTTTGTAATGAAAATATGATTTGCTGGAATAAGATCTATTATATTTAATAGAGGCAATGTGAATAAAAATAAATCTTGCCATTAGATAAATCATTCTCGAATGTATGCAATAACTAAACAGGATAAATCTATCAGTGTCATATGGCATTTCAGTATGAATATTAAAAAATCTATGGAAACATATAACAACAATGGAGCATTAGAGGTATGCTGACAACTTACTAAATATTTAAAAATTTAATGTAAACATTAAGGGTAATGCACGTATGAACAATATATTTATACTTTAATAGATATGATTTACCGTAAAGTGAAGGCCATTAACTTTAAGTTGGTAGAGATCCAACTAAGTCACAGCAGATGAAAATCAATTTAAAGGTCCTATGCAATATGAACTCTCAATTAATTATAAATATGCAAATAAATGTATTAAAACCAGTATTTAATTGAGATTAATGCATCCTAATTTGCATAATTTATCCTAAAGTTGATCCGAATTAACTTTTTTATTATGAGATAAAACCGATAATATTTATCCTAATCACATGATATAATTTCTTTGAAATAAATGCTGATTCTAAGGTTACAAGGAACTATATTTTTTGATATCCTTATCCAAAGCAATGAGAAGGAACCTGGAAGTTAAGATTCCATCTACCTGATTAAATCTAAAAAGTGCAAAATGCATTACAATCAACATTTAAGCCATCTGAGTTATTTTTTCATCGAGATCATCTTTCCAGCAGACTTGTCATATTAGGTAGTTATCCTATTCTTGAATTTTCTTCATCATTTCTTTCTCTAGGATTTATTTATAATTTTTTATTAGTATTAATTAAGATGCATCTCAAAATATATTACTTCTATTACTTGTTTCATATCACATTCATCATTTGCACGAAAATATTTGTTAGAATTTTAATTTTAATTATGACAGTTAAATTCTATTGGCGAGGTGAATAGAACGCATGTTGAGTTCAAACCATATGATAAATGAAATGTTATGCTTGAATCCAAAATCATTTAAAATCATTCCAAGTGGAGCCTTTAAGAAATTGAATGCTAGAAATACAAAATCATTTAAAATCATGCTGTGCGTTGGGAGAAACACTTTTAAAATATAAATTGTAGGAATTTTTTAGCATTACTCTAGTCTTCAATATATTTAATTTAACTTTATTTTATGAACTTAATGGCAATACTTTATATTCTTTTCTTTTCATCTTGTCCTTTTTGAGTTTTCATTTAACATTTTAAGAGATAAATATGAATTTCATTTTTGCTAGGTTGCATTATATGATGGAAATATGCATGATGGTTCTTCGTTTACTTTCTAGGAAGTGCAAACTTCATGTTTTCATATGCTATATTTCTACTTTAAATTTCTCCAAGGCAGTAGATTTCATAGAGAACTTCAAATTTACACTAATTAAAAAAGTTGAAAAAATAAATCTTTTGAGCAATATCTAGTCTATTTTAATTATTGCATATTTTATTTTGTAATTTTATTTTATTTTATTTTTGCTTAAATTTGCTTGTGATGATGTGAACTATGGAATTGGTTTAGTTTTCTATAGGATTTTATTTCAATTTCCGTGTTGGATGGATTTACGCTAGATAATTCATAATTAGAGTGTTTGGAGTTATTTGGTTATTGATCCTGTTACAGGAATTTGGATCTAGCGGGTCAGGAATTTGTTAGCGGGGTAGTTTATACAATTTTATGCTGTTACCATGACTATCACTAGTATTCTGGAACAGTGCTTTCCTTCATCAGTGACTTCTGTTCAACGCTATTAAGATTTATCCATTCTATTAATGTGCCTCTATTGGATGCTATTTAGACTTATCCAATGAAAATTTTGTGGACCTTTTCTTAGCATGATCTTGGTATGTTTGGGATTTGAATTGCACCTACTATAAAGTTGAGTACCTTCGAATTTGAAGCATGTTTTTAAAACTTTAGGCTTAGTAAAAATTTTGAAATCAATTCTGATTTCAAGGTTTTATTTGGTGATGATTCTTATGAGCACGGTTTAAAATGTGTAAGAGCAAATTGATTTTTGGGAGATGGCATCTCCTTGTTCTTTATTTGCTAACCTTAACCAGAAGACATCCTGCATCCTATGGCTACCTGTTCCATTGAAAAAGAAGGGTAATTGCTTTAATTTGTGAATGTATGGAAGAAACCTCATCATAAAATGTTTGATTTTTAACATCTTTACATCGCTATGCTTTGCTGCAGGGAAATTATTTTTGTTTATATTGTTGAGCCAAATAGAACGGGAAAGTTTGTTAATGGGTAACATCTGTCATTTTGTATTATTTTTTATAGTTTCGATGACACTTACGGAGCCATCAATGCATTTAGAGACATTTGCATGCATTGAGATGGGCAATGGAAAATTTGAACTGCATCTCTGCAGTACATCTTTAAAAGAATAAATAATGAAACCAAACACCTCCAAACTGGCCATTATTTAAGAATGTATCTACTCCAGTGATGCTTACCTTTTCTTGGTTTTTTTCTTCTAGTATAATTCGACATGTTTATGTTAACTGGAAAGGTCCTAATAAAACCTCACTTCAACTGAAATTTATTTTTCACTAAATACCAGGGAACGTTTTAGTCCTGCGTTCTTAGAATTCTAGCTACAAGAATTTCCATCATTTGAAATATAATTTTGTTGTCATATATATTGACATTGCAAGCTCTTATTTACTGACTTTACTTCCAGGTCCTGAAGTTGACCGCATAGCAGCGATTGCAGGAAAGTACAAGGTTTTCATAGTTATGGGTGTGATTGAAAGAGCAGGGTATACACTTTATTGTACGGTTCTCTTTTTTGATCCTCATGGTCAGTACCTTGGGAAACACCGCAAACTCATGCCCACGGCTATGGAGCGTGTTATCTGGGGTTTTGGGGATGGATCCACTATTCCTGTGTACGAAACTCCAATTGGAAGAATTGGCGCTCTCATTTGTTGGGAGAACAGGATGCCCCTCTTGAGAACTGCATTGTATGGTAAAGGTAAGAATTTTTGGCTGTTTGGTTTCAATGTAATTAACAGATAATTTATTTTATATAAGCAGTTTTATTGAAATCCTTTTTTCCTTGACAATTTCATGGAGAACCTTATTGGATAAAATTTTGAGGTTATCATTGTGAAATTTTTAGGTAAGAAGGGGGGAGGATTTCAGCAGAGAAAAATATGGGAATTGTAGAGATTCAAGAATTTTGCATTAGGAATCACACAACGAACAATTTCTCAACTTTACTAGGGCTTAGGACCAATTATAAACAAAACCACACCGTGGAATATCGGGATCACATCAATTCGATAAAAAACCGGAATAAAAATTAAAACAAAAGTACAATCAAAGTAACTAGAACAGTACACAAGAAATTACATGGGGAAATTCGAGAACGGGAAAAAACCACGGAGCCACACTGCCAGAAATTTCTATTATAAAATTCAGAAGGTTTTACAAAGAACTCACACAAGTTTCCCTCTACACACAAAGAAAACTTACATGTCCTGCTCAAAAAAATTTCTTCTCTGATCCGCCACAAAAATCACGCCAATTATCGAAATTCACCTCTTCGACACTTCTCACCTTCACCGGGATGCTCATCGAAGAATGCCGAAGGAAGATACACCAAGACTTAACTTCATTAAAGTATGTGTTTAATCACATACCGTAGTGTGGCCCACCCCTAGCCTTAACTTCATTAAACCCAATTGAAGCTAAGCATAGCTTCAATTTCTCAATAGTTACCACATTCGTCTACATATCCACAAGATTTTTAGCTATGTATCTTTTTTAGAAATAATTGCCCATCTTCGAGGAGAGATCGGATGAAAGGATACTCGAGTTGGATGTGTTTTGTCCTGACATGAAAAACAACATTCTTAGCAAGATAGTTCACATTCATACTATCACTGTAGAGTTCCAATCCCCTGCTCCTTGCCCAATGTTGTAAAACTTTGTAGCTAAATCATCTTCTTGCTAGCATCAGTAATAACAACATATTCGACCTCTTTAGTTGCAAATGCAACAATCTTCTACAGCTTGGAAACCCAACTTACCGCAGTGTTCCTCAATATGAAGATATATGACGTTGTACTTCTCCTATTGTCTACATCTCCTGCCATATATGAATCTACAAAGCCATGCAACTGATCTCTGCACTTCGATAGCTAAGTGCCCATTTACTGTTTACTGTTCTTCTCAAATATCTAATAATCCACTTTACCGCCTCCCAATGATGTTTGTATGGATTGCTTATGTATATGCTGACCACTCCCACTAGATATACAATACCTGGCCTGGTACAAATCATCGCATGCATCAAATTTTCAACTATTGAAGCATACAGAGTTCTCTCCGTCTATGTTTGCTCTGCTTCAAAGTTAGAAGATAGCTCCTTAGATAGTTTGAAGTGCCTACCTAAGGGAGTGCTAATTGGTTTCACCTCACTCATGTTAAACTTCTGCAGGATCTTGTCAACCTACTCTGCCTGAGGCGACTTCAGTGTTCTTGCACTTCTGACCCTGCTGATTCTCATCCCGATGATCTTATTGGTCGGACCTAAATCCTTTATCTCGAACTCACTTGATAACTGTTTTTTCAAGTCTCTAATTTTCTCAATATTTGTCCCTGCAATCAACATACCATCTACATACAAAAGAAACAAAAGATAACAGTTACTGAAGTGTTTGATGAATCAATATTGGATTGCCTGACACTTCATGTATTAACCCTTCTGTACCACTGTCTCGGTGTCTGCTTCAAGCCATAAAGGCTATTCTTCAACATGCAGACCAAACTTTCTTTGCCTGGAACCTTATAACCTTGTGGTTGCACAATGTACTTTTCATCCTCCAGATCTCCTTGCAAAAAAGCTGATTTTACATTCATCTGCTCTAGATGTAGATCTTCCACTACTACCAGACTCAACACAACTCTGATAGTCGTTATCGTCACCACTGGGGAGATCTCTGTGTAAGCTACTCATTTCTTCTGATGGAAGCGCTTCACAACAAATCTTGCATTGTAGCGCTTGCTATTATCTGACTCTTTTTTCAGTCTGTAGACCCATTTGTTGTGCTACGCTCTTTTGTCATTTGGTAGTATAATCAAATCTCAAGTCTGATTTGAATCCAAAGATTGCATTTCTTCATCCATGACAAGCTTCCACTCCCTCCTTGAATCTTCAACTTGAGTGACACGCACTTTGGTTCACCACTATCAGTTAATAATAAATATGGTAAAGAAGGAGAATATCTTTGTATGGGTTGTTTCACTATGCCAGATCTCCTGACCTCTGTAGCAGACGATTGAGGAACTTTCAGTACTCCTTTTGGTTTTGCACTAGTTCTTTTTCCATCTTCCTGATGGCCAGTATCTTCTATCTCCACATATCTGGATCCTTCAGAAGTAGCTGACGGACTTCCTGAGTTCTGACCATGTCCTAGTACATCTCCATTTCGTTAAAAGTGACGTCCTTGCTTCTGATGAATTTTTTATTCTGGTAATCTCAGAATTTTTACCCAAACTTATTTGAGTCATATCTAATGAAAGCGCACTTGACAGATTTTGTGTCAAACTTTCTCTTAGATCTTGCATCAACATTTACATATGTATGACACCCAAATACTCTTAAATGAAATAGACCTACTTTTTGTCACTTCAGGCTTCTTCAGGTATGCTTTCCTTCAAATGTATTAATGGACTACAGTTTATCAGATAAGCTGCAATATTAATTGCTTTATCCCAAAACTGTCTTGACAAGCCAACATGCAACCTCATGCTCTTAGCACGATCCATGATTGTTCTATTCATACATTCAACAATGTGAACTCATGCCTGACCCCTTTGTAGCACATAAATTATTGAACTTCTGATTACGATACTCACTTCCATTATCTGATCTAAAACACTTCAACTTCAAATCTATCTCATTTTCTACCAGTCTTATATTTCTTATAGTTTTCAAATACATCATATATCTGCTTTAAGAAATAAATGCATGTCTTTCTCGTGTGATCATCAATGCATGTGACAAAATAATGAGAACCTCCAATGGGCTGAACTGGAGTAGGTCCCCATGCGTCCAGTTTTTTTGGTTTCATCACTGACCCGCTCTTGAAGAAAGAAATTTTCTTCTGCTTGTCATATGTACAATTTTCACAGAAATCCAAATCAACTGATTTCATATCTTGAAGCTTATTTTTCAAAAGTAGAGACTTCATACATTTTTTGATCATACGGCCAAGCCTACAATGCCATAGGCCTGCATTCACCCTGGTTCCAGCCACATCAATGAAATCAATCATTTTATTGATCAAGTGAATGGTGCCTTCAATGTTGCTCGAGCCATCACCAATGCCCCTTTTGTCACCTTCCACCAATCACATGTGAAAATAGTCACGAGTCCCGACTTTGTCAGCTTGCTCATAGAGATGAGATTTATCTTCAAACTTGGAATATAGCTAACTTCAGTAAACTATTTGATTCTTTTATTTGACTATTTGATATCAACATCACTATTTCCTACCATACTACAAATCTTATTATCTCTGAAATAAACATTCCCTGAATTGCTGTGAGTGTAGTTTTAAAATATCTCTTTATTGAGATAAGCATGAAAAGAGATTTGAATCCACTATCCTAAATTCAGTACTGACTATGGATAACACCAGTGAGTCACTCTAGATTTTACAGTGGAGACATTAGCAGAGAAACTACTTTCCTGTCCTCCACCAATTTTTCTTGGAGCTTTGCAGTCTTTTTTGAAATGTCTCTTCTTACCGCAGTTTCAACATTCTTCTCTGCTTGACATGAGCTTTCCTTTCTTGAACTTGGATCTTTCTCTTACTTGATTCTTGCCCAAATTGCTTTCCCTATTATCAACATTCAACGCAGAACATGAAGATACACCATTCGCTGCTTCCTGCAAACTTCATTTAGCATCAGACCGACGATGTCATCGAAGTTCAACTTCGAAGTCCCTAAAGATTTACTCATCGTCTTTACTGAACTTTTATAGATTTCCGACAATAAATATAGTATCACCAGTGCTTTGATCTTATCATCAAACTTGATCCCTATAGAACACAACTGACTCGTCACTGTGTTAAAGTTATTGAGATGTTATGCCACTGAATTGCCTTCGCCTTCCACCATCTCCATATTGAATAACTACTTCATCAGAAAAATCTCATTGGAAGCAGAAGGTTTTTGGTACATCTTGGCCAGTGTCGTCATAGATCCATCGTAGTTTTCTCATTCACAATGTTGAACGCTACAAATGAGAAAAATGTTAACCCGATCAAATCCAGTGTCGTTCGATCCAACACTTCTCATTCCTCCATAGACATAGATTAAGGCTTCTTTGTGATTCCTTGTGGCAAATATAATTTTTTCTGATGCAACAAATCCTACACCTGCATCTTTTAGAAAGCGAAGCTCTTCCCATTGAACTTCTCCACTTTGAACCTTGCTTCTTTGACCATTGCTCTCACTCAAATCAAATCCCGCTCTGATACCAGTTTGTTAGGATTCACACGACAATTCCCAACTTTACCGGGGCTTAGGATCAATTAAAAGCTAAACAATATCGCAGAATAATGAGATCACACTAATTCGATAAAAAATCGGGACAAAAATTAAAACAAACGCACAATCAAAGCAACCAGAAAAAACAGACGAGAATTTATGTGGAAAAATCGAGAACGGGAAAAGACCATGGAGCCACACCACCAAAAATTTTTACCATGAAATTCAAAAGTTTTTACTAAGAAATCACACAAATTTTTTCTCTACACACATAGGATACAGGGCTCGCTCCATAATCTTTCCTCTCTGATCCGACGAAAAAATCACACCGAATCACCAAAATTCACCTTTTCGACACTCACATTCGTCGGGATGCTCTTCGAAGAATACTGAAGGAAGATACACCAAGCGCTACCTTACGCCGCTCGTAATCGAGATTGAAAACCAATCCCTGACACCAACTGCTCCTGGCACATAGGCGCCCCAACTTGGCGCCTTTGCGTCAAACTCTCGATAAACATGCACCTATATGGGTGCATGTGCGCCCAAAGCTGGCGCATAGTTGCTGACCTCTCTGTTCATTCAAGTGGGTGCTTAAGCGCCCACAACCTAATGCATAGGCGCCAGGTGCTCTGTCCCGCTGCTCACCAAATACTTTGTCTATTGTTGATTGACGTTGCAGCCTCCGCATCGGTTAACCAATATATTGATGCCTTTGATTGTCACAAATCAACTTTGGCCATTGATAAACGTCAATGCAAGCTGTTGCCATTGCTTAGCATCTTTTGTAATAATTTTGAGAGGAATTTTATGGGCTCAAGTAATAAATTTTTTATACATCAAAATTATCACATTAATATTAAATATTTTAATAACTTTTTTTCTTAAATATTCTGCCCCGTTCAATTCCTTTAAATGATAGGCAATGGTGATGCACCCATATAGGTGCATGTTATAACACATAATTTGGTGTTGTCTGTGGCAAGCAGTTAAGATTGGTGGGAAACCTTAGTTGTAGCTTCAAAAAGACATTCGAATTCACACCTTGGGCACAACTGTCAACGGGAAACCCCTTGTACCACATAATAATGTATCAAAAGGACCCCACTTTACTCAAAATAGTGTCAAAATGCCAAGGTGGTTGTTAGATGGGTATTAGACGATGCCCATGGTTGAGGGATATTGGACTCTATTCATTGGTAGGCATCAAATGTGGGTTGATGAGGTGTTAGAAATTGGATGATTATGAAGGGAGACCGGTCAATTGATAAGAGCTGCTTGGAATTTCATGGACATATGTCATTAGTTGGCATCCAATGATGATTGTTGAGGAACATTGAAAGTCGAGCAATGGTGGGTGTTTGACTTTATTGTTTTTCTCATAAGAGGGGAAACCTAGCGATTGAGAATATTTGTGGTTGAAAAAAGTTAACTTTGGTTATTACAGGCATTCTATAAAAGTCACTGGGTGGAATGTTGGGAGTCAAGTGATGGTGGATAATTGTTTTGATTGTTCTCTTGATATAACGGAAATGAGTGATTTGTGGGACGGGCATTGAATGTATGTCATTGGCTAACGTTTAACGGGACGGTCATCAAGGAATGTTAGAAGTTTGGCGATAGTGTTATATTGAATTATTTGTTCTCTTATTAGGAAGGGTGACCTATCGACCAAAATATGTCTAAAAGTAGACATTGATGGCTAGCAAACTTCAATATTGGTCATATGAAGACATCAAATGACCAATGTTTGAAGTTGGGTGATAAAAGGCGATTTGCCCGATTGTTCTTCTTTTATGGAACCTACTGTGCTTTTGGAAGATGAATTTCGAATGTTAGTCGATGATGAATGTTAAAATGTCAGTCTTTGGCATGCATTGGTAGCAGTCGATAAGAAACATTGAAAGTTGAGTAATGATGAGTGATCAGTATGGTTAGCCTTCTATTAGGATAGGAAGAATGGGTGTTGGATGTTAGATGTGAGTAATGGTAAGCATCAAATGACGGTTGATGGAGAATATCAGATATTTGGAGGTGGTGGGCGATCAGTTTGGTGTTTATCGGGATAGTAGGTGATGTTGGATGGCGCGAAGGGCGTTGTTGGGTGATGGATGTCAAGATATTTGTTGTTGGTATGAGTTAAAACACAGTCGTTGTGGAACATCAGAAGTACCGAGGTGAGCATTGGCGATGAAAGATGCTTATGTTGGTCAATGATTAGGATAGGAAGAATAGGTGTTGGATGTTAGATGCGAGTAATGGTAAGCATCAAATGACGGTTGATGGAGAATATCAGATATTTGGAGGTGGTGGGCGATCAGTTTGGTGTTTATCGGGATAGTAGGTGATGTTGGATGGCGCGAAGGGCGTTGTTGGGTGATGGATGTCAAGATATTTGTTGTTGGTACGAGTCAAAATACAGTCGTTGTGGAACATCAGAAGTACTGAGGTGAGCATTGGCAATGAAAGATGCTTATGTTGGTCAATGATTAGGAAGAAATAGTGGTGTGGCTAAAGTCAAAGTTAGTTGATGGTCAATTAAATTAATGGCAAGGATTGCTGTTGATGTCTGTCATCAGGCGTCTCACCGCTATGGAGTGGCAAGCATCACAGTTGATGTTGCATGGTGATGATTGTTGGCATTGATGTTGTTCGACGGCAAACACTCTTTCAATGTTGGTTGATAGTATAAAAAGTTCTAAAATTCTATATGAATCCCAAATTTTTTCTTGTTGAAAATCATCACCCAAATGTTCCTAAACAACGTCTATGCAATAGAATTTCGAACCAATGGATGAAAACAAATTGCAATTCAATTCCCCCGCCATCTCCATTTCCACACCCTTTTCATTTCCTTATCTCAATTCATACAGATCAAACAGAGCCACTGGCATGCAATATATATTTATTTCTAAACATACCATCTTACACAGCATTCTGAGTTTGTATTCCGTGCAGGCATTGAAATATATTGTGCTCCCACAGCTGATGCCAGGGAGCTATGGCAGGCATCAATGACCCACATCGCACTTGAGGGTGGATGCTTCGTTCTCTCAGCAAATCAGTTCTGCCGCAGGAAGGACTACCCTTCCCCACCTGAATATGAATTTGCCGGTGTTGATGGGGAGCCCTCTCCTGATTCTGTAGTGTGCGCTGGAGGCAGCGTGATTATATCTCCATCCGGAGTCGTCTTGGCAGGTCCAAATTATGAAGGAGAAGCCCTCATCACTGCTGACTTAGGTGTATTAATTACTTCTTTCAATGCTCTAATCATATTTCTGATTAAGTTCTTTCATCATTTTTCTGCTTGAATTAGCTTTGTTATGATTGAACGATGAGCTGCAGATCTCGCCGAAATAGTTCATGCCAAGTTTGCTTTCGATGTGGTTGGGCATTATTCCAGGCCTGAGGTGCTGTGCCTGACGGTAAAAGACCATCCCCAGCAGCCAGTTCTCTTCACTTCTGCTGCCAAGAAGGAAAGCGAGCAGAAATCATAAGAAGCCACTGGAATATAAGGTTAGCCTTGTTATCCTGAACCTCTTCATTCTCTGATGACAAATACTAAAGCTTTTGAACATTTAGAATGTACAAAACGATCTTATTGAATTATTTCTGATGTACGAGAAGTTGGATTTTCATTCGGAAAAGCAAAAGCAAGGCAAATCAAACTTATTTTTGGGGCATTTATGTACATACCACATAATTCATATGTATTTACTTATTTATTCACATGCATACCACTTAAATTTTCAACATCACATCAATAACATCAGCGTTCCTACCTTTTTGAAAGTGACACACCTTGTCATGCAAATAGGTTTATGACACCAAGATCTTACAAATGTAAATATCAACTTTGGGTGTTAGATATGTAAAGACATTATAATTGTGTGGCATGTACGTAACAATTACCTTGAATTTAATTAGAATTACCCTTCAAAACATTGTTTGGTTTCTAGCCTAAACCCCAAACCCTTTTACTGTTTTTAAAGAGCTTCCAGCTTTGAGTGCTCCAAGTGGTTTCAGTAGTAGTGTTAATTCAACTAAAGCCAAGTGCCCAACATCCTGTATCTTATATTCATCCTTTTAAGGGAAATGCATTGAACTATTGCATTCATTATGTAACTTTAATCAAACTGTAATTTCATAAAATTTTCTACGGTAACTTGCAGATATAATAATTTATTTTTTTAAAAACAATCCCAATATGAAATAAAATAGGGAAAATCTGCGTACATACCGCATGATTTTTATTTATTTATATATCTAACACCAAAAATTTGACGTTTATGATCATAACACCTTAGTGTCATAAATCTATGTGTGAAAAACATATATGTAGCTTTTGAAAAATTAGTAATTGTGGCATGCTTAAAAAATTGGAGTGTTAAGCATGCCAGCATGAAAGTTTAGGTGTTAGATACGTGAAAGCATAAGAAATGTGGTATGTATGTAGATGCCTCAAAAAAATAATATTATTTTGAATTGATATGATCAATGTCAAACTGCTCATGAACTAGGGCTGTCAAGACAGCTCGTTGTTCGCGAACAACTTGTGTTCGGCTCGTTCGCTAAGTTAACGGGGCGAAC